ACACACACACACACACACACACACACACACACACACACACACACACATTTTCAACCTACAGTCTCTGAAAATTAACTATTTCTGTTCAGGTTCAGGGACTGACTGAAAGTATGAGCCAGTAGGTGTTCCTATACATTATTGATCAAATATTCTCTATATTTGAATGTTATGAAGTATACACATTTAGAAATTGGTTTTCATATCAGCAGATAGAGTCCACGCTGCTTGCTTCACTGAGCTACAGGTAGAAGCTGACTACCAAAGGAGAAGGCTGAGGAGAAATTGCTCCATGAGATAAGGCAAGAGATTTATCCTATCCCTGAATGATTCCCTCTCTCTGAAAGCACAGAGTCATGTCATAAACTGTGGGACTAGGGTCTCCAAAGGACATGTAATACTTCATTCCTGGCAATATGGTCTAAAATGAAAGGGTCATAATTAATGGTCAGGTCACAAAGTTTATTCCCAGAATCTTCTTATTTTAGTAAATAAAGAGAGATCTGCAAAAACTGTATGCCTGGGGAAAAATCCCATTCAGACCAACTGACCCAGATCAATCAATGACAATTAAGAGTAGTAATATTAAAAAATTCATTTGATGAACTCCCATAATAAATTGCTAAGAAGGTATTTACACAAGGCACTGTACTAAGTATATAACACAGTATCTCATTGTGTAATCCTTATAATAGCTCTGTGAGGTACATGTCATTATTCCTATTTTGTAGACAGAAAAGAAAAGTCTCTTATAGAGTAAAAAAGTTGTCCAAAGTCAGGCATTTACCACATTTACCAGAGTTATAACCCAAATTGGTCTGACTCTAAAAGCTCTTACCCATTCAGTCCCACTGCAGAATAAGGACACCAGCTGAGAGCAACAGAGAATGAGAATGCAGTCACGAGGGGAACCTCTCATTGGATCTCATGTATACAGAGCTTCCTCCTTCCAGGAGAGCTTTGCCCTTGTCCTCATAAACTTTGATGTCAACACATTCAATGCATTGTATTGGCTTTATAGTTTGGGAGCTAAAAAAGAATAGATTTCTAAATATCAGCTATTTTATTTTACCAGCTTGTCTTAAACTAGTTACAGAATCTCTCTCTTTATAACTTTTTACCTAAAAATAGGAATAAAACTACTCTTCAATATGTGAATTTTAAAAGGATAATAAAATCAAAGGAATTTAGAATCATTCTTGCATATAGTGGGCACTTAGAAAATGCTGCTTCCTTATTGACTCCTTTCTCCTTACATTTCAAACTTGTTCCATGTCTCATGGCCTCTCCAGAGCAGAGGCTGTGTAGTCTTCGTATCTTCGGACAAAATGCTTAACACATAGTTGGTGGTCAATTACTGGAAATGATTTAAAGGCATTGAGAATTACTTCATTTGAAATTTTAAGAAGTTTGGTAAAGCTTTGGTTTCAGAATATATATTTAGGGATTTTTAAAAATATGTATTTTTTTATGTATTATGGTCAAACTCTTGGGCTCTTAGGAAAAAAAAACATTTTCCAGTTTTCTTTGAATCTCACGCCAAGAGAATTAGAACAAATTACACAGGTATATCTGATAAAGGCCATACTTTCTCTTCCCATAAAAGTATAAAATTTTATATAAAAAATTATCTTGTGGCCAAGCATGGTGGGTCATACCTGTAATTGCAGCACTTCAGGAAGCCAAGGCAGGCAGATTACTTGAGGGCAGGAGTTCAAGACCAGCCTGGCCAACATGGTGAAACTCCATCTCTACTAAAAACACAAAAATTAGCTGGGCCTGGTGGCGCGTGCCTGTAATCCCAGCTATTCAGGATGCTGAGGTAGGAGAATTGCTTGAACCCAGGAGGTAGAGTTTGCAGTGAGCTGAGATCATTCCACTGCACTTCAGCCTAGGCAACAGATCAGGACTCTGTCTCAAATAAATAAATAAATCACCTTGTAAAATGTTTTCCTCTTCACTCAAATATATAAAGTAAAAGATGTCTAATATTTTAACTAGCAAAAATATTTTAGTCAGTTATTTATCTTAAATTTCCTTTTTCCTCCTCAGTCTAACAGTTTATTTTTATACTGGACTTTGGTCTGTCAGTTTCACATATGGATCAACTATTTCCTACATATATAGTTTAGTTATCTGTTTCTGCATAACAACCTAATCCTAAAATGGTATTTTAATATTTCCTTGCCATCTCTGAGCTGTTTGGGCTCAGCTTGATGGTTTTTCTGCTTCCTATGATGTCAGCTAGGGCTATAGTTATCTGAGACCATGGGTGGTCTACAACATCCAAGATGGCTGCCTCTCATAACTGGCAACTGATGTAAGCTGTTGGTTGAGAAATGCTAGTAAGCAGGTCTCCTAAGTTTTCCTCCACATGACCTCTCCATGTGGCTGGTTTCTGAGAGCGAGTAACCAAAGAGTGAACTTTTCAAGGGAAAGAAGTAGAAGCTAAAGGTCTCTTAAGGCCTCCTTTCTGCTACATTCAGTTGCCAGCCCAGATTCAAAGGAGGGGAAATAAACACTCCTGTTGATCTGATATGTGTTTTATATAAAGAAGGAATTGGTTGGTCATTTTTAAAGACTGATTATTAAGTATAAATAGTTAATCTGTAATATTTTTTATAAATGATTTCCCTCTCCATTCTACCCCTATAAAGTTTTCTTCTATATGTGAGAATTTAAAGTCTGTGATTTCTTTCAATGAACTAATCTACACAGTTAGTTGTGTTTATCATTTGTCTTTGATGAATATATTATGATACTGAAAACCTGATATCCTATTAAACATTTAAAGGAATATTTCACATTTTAGAATTCTGAGCTCTAACTCCTTCTTTATCCTCTGCATTAGAATTAGAAAAAAGCACTCAGACTTAAAATATACCAAATGAAGCAGTGGGGATGTAGGTGGTAAAGTTTTTTTGTTAGTCTTATTTTTCTCTTTTTGTTCATATATTTTGAGCTCTCAAAAATAGCTGTAAAATGTTTTGTTACATTGCTAATACATGCATCATTAAAGAAAATCAAAACTCTATCTAATTTAGCTAAATGAAAAAATTATATGCAATATTGGTGTGTGAGGGGTGGGGAGAAGGAACACACTACAAGCTTCTTTGCTCCTTTCTAAATTTGTCTGTGAGACAGCACTAATTAACAGTCCAAATTTCTAGCATTAGTGTGGACTTCAATGGAGTAACTATTAAACAAGATACATAACAAGTGTTACCATGATAATCAGATGAAGTTATTAAATAGAAAAGAACAAATGCCTGTCTTTTATAAGAAGAAAGACATCATTTCCACAGATAAATGAAGAAGCTCTCTGAAGCCTGGAAACCTCTGGGAAGGGAGCACATGTATTATTCTAGATCAGAACTCAAGATTCCAGCATGGAGGACGAACTCATGTGGCCTCCTTGTCAAAAGGTATGTAAAAACAAATGTTACAACTATGAATTTGACATTAACCATGGGAAAATTTAAGACAAATGAAAGTTACATATTATTGATGAATCTCTTTGGAAAACTTGTTGAAGCTATATGGGATTTTTTTCATTCGCTAATCAGACAGTAAGGTTATTGGGCCATGAATGGTAGGTATACTTAGCAAATAATATTCCTATTGTGTAAGTTCTTTTGTGCCTTTTCTTCATATCAGGTAAATTATACCTGGATATTCTTTAAATGGGAAATTAACTGTTCTTGTAATTGAAGCAATATTACATCTGTTAATAGAGAGTAGAAGGTATAATCAGAATTTTGCTATAAATGAAAAGGGGAAATTAATATTCTTTTTGTTTTTAGACATGCAACCTATGTAATAAGTAAGACATTGTTGATGGTAAGTACATACTGCTCGGCATTGATATCTTACTTGCTGCAAGGTGGAGGACCCAAGGGGAACTCATAGATGGAACCCAGGAAATAAGAAGTCAATATAGTGAAAGGCAAGAACTTGATTTGATGAAACTCATCATTAAATGATGAGATTGATCACTCAACATCTGCCATTACTAGAACATTTCTGTAGAAATATGATGCCATTGGCATGAGCCAATATAAAATAACATTGAAATAAAGAGCGCTGGATCTGAAATGAGACTGGCAAATTACTTACTATCTCAGTGTTTCTTTGAATATTTATAAGATGGGGTAAAAACGAAGTTGATGCAAGGTACATGAGAAAAAATTGTCATGATATTCAGGAGTTTTAGTAATAATTATATAAACGTTAATATCTCTAGGTAAATAAGTTTCACAAAAGAGAAAATCTGGTAAGAAGCTAAAAGGGTAAGAAAACCTTTCCTATAAAGGAACAAGGATAAGAACTATAGCAAAATGTCATAAGAAATCATGCAAGCAAGAAGAAAGTAAGGTTAAATATTTGAAGTGTTAAAAAAAATCACCAACCTAAACTTCTGTATCCAGTAAAATTATCTTCCCAAAGTGAAAAAGAAATAACTTTCTCAGACAAACAAAAACTGAGGGAATCCATCTTAGTAGACTTGCACTACAAGGTGTTAAAATATGTTCTCTAGGAGAAGGGAAATGATATAACATAGAATCTTAAATTTCCATAAAGAAAGGAAAAAAAATCACATGTTAGGCCATAAAACAAGTCTTAACAAATGTAAGGCAATAGGAATTATATCAAGTATATTTTCTGAGCAAAATGCTATAAAACTAGAAATTAACAACCAGAAAAAAAAAAAAAAAAAAAAACCA